GAACCTGCCACCTTGGGTGTACGTGGCTGGCGCCTTAGCCGCTTGAGCCACAGGCCCTGAGCCTCTTCTTCTGTTTTTAAGAGACAAGGTCTTGCTCTATTGCCCAGGCTGGGGTGCAATGGTACAGTCATAGCTCACTGCAGCCTTCACCTTCTAGCTTAAAGCTATCTTCCCACATTAACCTCTGGAGTAGTAAGACTATAGGCATATACCAACACGCCTGGCTAATTTTTCTTTTTCTGCAAATTTTTTTTTTTTTTTTGGCCAGGGCCAAGTTTGAACATGCCACTTCCAGTATATGGGGCTGGCGCTGCTGGCGCCCTACTCCTTTGAGCCACAGGTGCCGCCCTCTTTTTCTTTTTTTGTAGAGATGGGATCTGGCAATATTGCCCAGGCTGGTCTTGAATTCCTAGGCTCAAGCAATTCTACCTGGGTCTCCCAAAGTGCTGGGATAACAGATTTGAGCCACTTTCCTGGCTTTTTTCTTAAAAAAAGATCCCCTCCGAGCTATTCCTTTGTTTCATTTTTTGTTGGGGTATAGTGGTGAGAGGATAGGGTAGGTTATAATCAAATGTTTAATTGCTCAGGTAGAAAGCTACAGTGATTAAAACAAATTACCCCTCTCTAATTCCTTTTAAAGCTGGTAGGCAAATTAGTTACCAAGAAACACACTTAGGACCAAGTCTTCCTGTATTTACCAGGTCAAGATGTATGAAACCATAGGTCATATGTTGACATGTTTCCCAGAATTATAGTAAATTTACTATGTATTGAGGTTAATCTTCTTAGATAATCAGGGCCTGCGGAAGAGGCCAGGTCTGAGGGGATGGAAGCTATAATTTGGGGGGAAAAAGATGAAATTTGGCTTTCATGTCAGCAGGGAGCTTTTTTTAGCTACCACATGCATTAGTAACGATGGGCAGAACTGCAGAGGGAAAGGAATGCACCTGGCCTCAAATCTAATGGACATTTCCAAACTAAACACTGGAGGGCAGCATCCTGCACTTGCGGGAGGAAGCCTCCCAAGAACACCACGCACCCCTTTAGAACTTAGTCTCTTCTTGCTGTGAATCCTCAGTTTAAGATCACTGCGGTTTAATATGCCATAGATCACTCAGGGGAAGGGATGGTATCTGACTAGTAGTAACATACATGCCAATTCTTGAAAAACTTCACTTTCTTTAGGGGCTCAGATTTGACTTTCTCCTCCTGTGCCCTTGTAGTGACAAGACTTTTTTCCATTGACATTTACGTCTCAGGAGATTGATACTTCTTTACCTGTGAGGTCTGAGGAGTAGTATTAGGATTGTTATGAGAAAGTGGAGAGCCGTTGAGCCGGAGAACCTGCCCAGGGATTTATCAGCCACACAACACCTTCCTGGTCAGATTCTTCTGAGGAACTCCTCAGGCCACCATTAGCTTGGGAGACTCACGGCACAAAGTGACAGGTCCAAGTTGAATAAATTTTAATTATCTTCATTTTTGGTTTTAGAAATTACAGACTACAGGAATATATACTACTTAAAAAAAATAAAAACAAAAACAAAACACCTAAAGTCAGAGGTATGTAGGGTTGATACTAAGGTCTCCCTAATGCTATTATCTCCTATCTTGCTTTCTTTGCCAGGTGACCATGGTGGAGAGCTTAGTGAGGACACCTTTTATGCATTTAAGAACATGTACCAAAGTCATTGGGCCAGTGGTAAAATATTAAATTTAAAAACAAAATCCACAGCCTCGGCAACATCATGAGACTCTGTCTTTACAGTGTAGTGGCACATACCTGTAGTACTAGCTGCTCAGAGGCTAATAAGATAGGAGAATCACTTCAGCCCATGAGTTCAAAAGTTCAAAGCGGCATGAGCTATGATTACACCACTGCACTCCAGCCTCGGCAAGAGTGAGACCAACCTCCCCTCAAAGAAAAACAAAACCACAAAGTCTGAACCATTTGTAGGTTTATGAAATTATCCTATAAACACACAAACTGAAATAAAAAGAAACAAAACTAACAAAACTCATTACTCATTTCTTGTATTTTATTTCTCATAAACAACTGCTAATAACAGAAAAAAAGTCATTATAGCAGCCTACTATTTTAAGGCAGCAAATGTAACTTAAATGCTGACTCACTCAATAAAACAGGAGACCTTCCCAGGCTATAATGGCAAATGTAACTTAAATGGTTAACAGATTCACTCAATGCAACAGGAGACCGTCCCAGGCATTTATGTAAATTTCCCAAACCAAATGAAACTAATAACTTTTATTACCTATCAAACACAAAACAAAAATTAATGAATTTTATTGTTTCCCCTATAACTGAACAATTGTACAAATGATAAATTTTCTCTCATGATCCTCTCACTCACACCGGAAAAAGCTATTAAACACTTACAATTACGATTTGCAAACTGGGGCCTGGCTACTTCTGGGTCATTTGGTGGTGTGCCAAGGCATACTGCCAATGGCTTGGATTACGTTCCATCTTTCCAGACAGCAGCATTTACTCGATGCTGAATAATCCCATATTTATTTTTAAGAAAGGTTCAATGTTAGCTTTTCCCCCAACTGAAATGTATAGAGTGCCCCAATATAGACCAGTTTTAAGAACCTGCCCTGGTAGTGAGAGTTGGCCGAAGTCTTTCCCTCCACATACCCTGGGGGTATGTGGCCTCTTTCCTCCCAGTGAACCTGGGGAAAGACTTAGCACATTCAGCCTCACTGCCTTCCAATCTCAGTTCAAAGACTGGGCATCCTGCCCAGGATACAATAGGTCCACCGAGGGAGTCTAACTGCCAGTGTGACTGCCCACCCTGCTTGCCCTCTATTCAGGCAAATAACAGAGGTAGCATAGTTGGTATTTGACATGCTCAAGTCCAGCTCCTTAAATCTAGACTTTCCTGGCTTTTCAGTCTTTTTGGTAGCAATGTTTCAACAAATTAATACTTTTGCTTATGTTAATGTAGCACTCAGATCTGGTAGCACCTACGTAAGTTTTTGGATTGCAGTAAACAACAATATATCTTCCAAACTGCTGAATATTCCCAAATGGCATCCTGCTCCCTAATCTGTTTTCTGCATATTCTCATTCTTATTCTTTTCTGTATATTCTTGTAGTCGAAGAAGCCACTTGGCCCAGTAGTGGGAACAAAGCTTTGCATCCATGACATGTGAGTGGGCAGGTGATCCGTCTTTGTAGGCCACCACAATTAAGCCACACTGAACCTAGGAAGAAACAAAGGGTAATTCCAATATTACTATAGTAGGTCCAGAGTTTAGGTTCATTTCCTTCTTACTCCAGGGCAAATGCAGTCAGTACAAAATAATTTACAGTAATATCTCCTAACTCAATTTCTAAGGTAAGCTGATCAAAGACTGCATCAGAACACACAAGAACACACAGACGACAGATTGAAGAATGGACTGTGATCATTAACTATTAAAACAAAAATAAAGCCCAGGGCAAGAGTGGGAGATGGACAGGGACATCGTTAGGGATAAAAATAGAGTAAAAACCTAAAGAGTTACTTAGTTGTACTGAGCAAAGCTTTAAGTGAGTAGAGGTTGAGGGTCCTGACCTGAAAGCTATAGTTGGGATCATGGTTCATAGCACCCATGTAGGCCACAACTTGCAGTGGGTTGTCGAATGTATTTCGGATAAAAGGTTTTGGTTTCTCTGATGTCTTCCAATCAATCACACATAGCTTGCCCCTAAAGAGAAACCAAAGGAAGGCTTTGTAGGTAATAGTTCAAACAGAAAAACTCCATTAGGGTAACTCTCCTCTCACAGGTAAGTTTACTACTTGCCACCCAATGACCATTGCTTCTATTCTCCAAGTTTTTTTTCTTTGAACCAATTTTTTTTTCTTTGAAGAGACAGAGTCTCACTATTTTTTGCTCAGGTTGGACTTGAGCTTCTGGGCTCAAGCATTCCTCCTGAATAGCTGGGACTGTAGGCATGTGCCACCATGCCCAGCTCTCCATTTTTTATTTTATTTTTTTTCACAAGTCACTGATAAAGAGCCTTCCACCCTGTTTAGGAGTTTGGACTTTATTTTCCTAAGGGCAATAGGGAGCCACTGAAGGGCTATAATGCAAAGAAATGACTTGATCTGACTGACATTTTTTTTTTAAGTTCACAGCAACCTCCAACTCCTGGGCTTAGGTGATTCTCTTGCCTCAGCCTCCGGAGCGGCTGGGACTACAGGTGCCCGCCATAATGCCCAGCTGCTTTTTTGTTGCAGTTTGGCCAGGGTGGGGTTCAAACCTGCTACCCTCAGTATATGAGGTTGGTGCCCTACCCACTGAGCCACAGGCGCTGCCCAGACATTTTATTTTATTTTAATTTTTGACACAGAGTCTCACTCTGTCACTCTGGGTAGAGTGCTGTAGAGCTGTCATATGCCATGATGCCTGGCTAGTTGTCCTATCCTTAGTAAAGACTGCATCTCACTCTTGCTCAGGCTGGTCTTGAACTCATGAGCTCTAGCAACATACCTGCCTCGGCCTCTCAGAGTGCTAGGATTACAGGCATGAGCTACTGCACCCAGCTAGCTCTCCACTTTTTGAAATGGGCTCTGCTTCTCAGGACTAGAAAGATGTAATGCTTTCTTTCCTCTGAATCATAACTGATTTGGGTCAGTAATGTGCCCATCAAAGGTCTGATGGAAAATGCTTTCTGAAGTGCACCCACAAAAGCTATAGATGCAGGCCACCTGCAAAGAATGGAAAACAACATTTCCGCTGTTTATGTTTCTAAACTTCCTCATAATTCCTTTGGAACACCACAGCCTCCTTTCCTTAACAATTGATAGAGGAATTGAAATTATACTGTCTATTACTGTCTCTGTTGATTTTTTTTTTTCTTGAGACAGAGCCTCAAGATGTCACCCTGGGTAGAGTGCCGTGGCCTCACAGTTCACAGCAACCTCCAACTCCTGGGCTCAAGCGAGTCTCCTGCCTCTGCCTCCCAAGTAGCTGGGACCACAGGCGCCTGCCACAATGCCTGGCTATTTTTTGGTTGCAGCCATCATTGTTGTTTGGCAGGCCCTGGCTGGATTTGAAACCATCACTTTAGGTGTATGTGGCTGGCGCCTTAGCCACCTGAGCCACAGGCGCTGGCTGAGCCTGTTGATTTTGTTTCAAACACCTGTCAAAATGAAACACAACATATCATTAGCAAAGTTCCCATTATGAAGGACCATCATTATGGTGCCTCAAAAGTTCTCTTGCTTGGAAACCAAAGGGTGTTCAAATCCATCCATACTCAAGAGCCATCAACTATATGAAGACATAAAAATAAGGGAACTGGGTCCCTATCTTAAAAGTTCACACATGGGGGACATTGGGGGGGTGGGGGGGAAGGACAAAATTTCCTGCCACTTTTTTGTCTTGTTCAAATAAGTGTATTCTTCTCCCTTTCCCCTGTTCTGGTGGTTTATACTTGTCAACCCCAGATAAGGGTTTTAGGGAATGTGGACCTAACTGGTGACTCTCAAACTGCTCTATCAGTTCAATACATCTTTCATGACTTCAATTTCAAAACCAGCAGTTTAGTAGGAAGATTCTGTACAAAATGTGTTACTTATAAGTCACTACAACTCTTGACAGAATCTAGAGCAGCACTGGCTGAAAGAAATAAAATTCAAGCCATGTGTCACTTTAAATTTTCTAATAGCCACATACAAAAGAAAAAAAAAGAAATAAGTGAAATTTCAATATTTTACTTGATCCAACATATCTAAAATATTATCATTTGTATATGTAATCAATATAACAAGTAATTAATGGGATACTGTAAATTACTCTTTATACTAAGTCATTGAAATCTAGTTTGTATGTTGTTATAGCACAACTTAGTTTGGACCGACCACATTCAGGTGCTCAATGGCTACTAACAGTCTATAGATAATTTTGTCTCTATAACTGCTTTATAATATTGCCAAGTTTCACAACCTGTGTAAGTGAGGAAAGGGCCTAAGTAACTGTAGGTGGCTGCCATTTCTGGTTCTTTCACTTGAAGAAATCAAAATGTCTTTTAAAAAGATTTCTGCCATAGGCCACTGTTTAAAGCAATGTAGTATAATTGTAGAACTTAAAAGTGTGAAGAAAAATCTTAGTACTGTACTGAGAACTGTAAAACATTAATGAAAGAAGTTGACAATAATACAAACAGTAAGACAGCCTGTGTTCGTGGATCAGAAGAATTTATATTATTAACATTTCCATACTAATTCATCAGTGCAATCCCTATCAAAATTCCAATGGCATTTTTCACAGAAATACCAAAAAAAAACCAAAAAACTAAAAATCATATGTAACCACAAAAGTCCCTGAATAGCAATCTTGAGCAAAAAGAACAAAGATGGAGGCATCACAGTCCCTGATTTCAAAATACAGTTGTGTATCACTTAACAACAAGGATACGTTCTGAGAACTGTATTGTTAGGCAACTGCAAACAGAGAGGGCGTTTACACAAACGTAGATGGTGTGGCCTACTACGCACTTCAGCCCCACTGCTCCTCAGCTACAAAACCATACAGCATGTTACTATAGTGAGTAATGTAGGCAACTATAATACAATGTTAAATATCTGTGTATCTAAACAAAGAAGCGGCACGGTAAAAATACAATATAAAAGATGAAAAATGGCACACGTGCACCGGGCACCTACCATGAATGAAGCTTGCAGGGCTGGCAGCTGCTCTGGCGAGCGAGTGAGCGAGAGAGCGGGCGGTGAGTGAATGTGAAGGCCTCGGAGACTACCATTCACTACTGCAGACTTTACAAACGCTGTAGACTTAGCTACACTAAATTAAAAACCTATTTTTCTTTTTTTAATAATCAATTGACCTTAGCTAACAGTTACTTTATAAACTAAATTTTTTCTCTTTTGTAATAATACTTAAGTAAAACACAAACATTGTACAAGTGCACAGATATATTTTTTCTTCATATTCTTATCTATATGCTTTTTTCAATTTTAAAAAATTATTTGCATTTTTACTTTCTACATCTTTTTTTTTTAATTTTTTGAGACAGTCTTATTATATGGCCCTTGGTAGAGTGATGTGGCATCATAGCTCACAGCAATCTCAAACTCTTGGGCTTAAGCTATTCTTGCCTCAGCCTCCCCAGTAGCTGGAACTACAGGCGCTCGCCACAACGCCTGGCTATTTTTTGGTTGCAGTTGTCATTGTTGTTTAGCAGGCCCAGGCCAGGCTCGAACCCTTCCATGTATACTGCCAGCACCCTACTCACTGAGCCACGGGGGCCGAGCCATACTTCTTACATCTTTTTGTTAAAAACTTAAGAAGCAAATACACACATCAGCCTAGGGCCATTCAGGAGGAGGTTTGGAATACATACATGAACTGGTTAACAGTCATTTATTATCAAGTACTAAGTACTGTACATAATTATGCTATACTTTCATATGATTGGCAGTGCTGCAAATTTATTTACAACAGCGTAACCATGAACACATGAATAATTTGTTATGCTATAATGTTACAATAGCTGTGATATCACTGGGCATTAGAAATTCTTCAGCTCCATTGTAATTTTATGTATATGTGATCTGCTATTGACTAAAACATAGTTATACCACACATGACTGTGTATTATAAAGGTACAGTAATAAAAGAGCATGATACTGGCATAAAAATAGACATATAGACCAATGGAACAGAAGAGGGAGCCAAGAAATAAACCCATGTATTTATAGTCAATTGATTTTTAACAAAGGAAAGCTGGGCATCCACTTGGAGAAGAATGAAACTGGACCCTATCTCACACCCTATACAACAGTCAATTCAAAGGTAAAGACCTTTAAATGTTAAGACCTAGAACTGTGGTTGGGTGCAGTATCTCACACCTGTAATCCTAGCACTCTGGGAGGCTGAGTTCAGGAGTT